AAAAACCCTTCAGAAAAACCCCCCCCCCCCCCAACACACACACACGAAACGAGCGGCAGCAGGTGGCGGATCCAAGGTACGTTATTTGAATGGGGGGGGGGGGGGTCCACAGATGCGAAGCCGCCCCCCTCATCTCTCCAGCAGATCGTCTCGGTGGAAGTCCCCCCCCTCCCCGTTGGCGTGGGTATTTTGGTATTTTAGAGGGCAAACGGTGCCATTTGGTACGACTTAGTGCTTTAAATCAGCTAGTCAAAAATTTAATTCCAAGAGAGGCATATAAGTGATTTTTTTTCAGAAACCGAAGTGGGGGTCAGGACCCCCCCTCTAAACCCGCCTCTTTTATACCTATGGCTTAGAAAATTTTATTCTTTTTATTCCTATTTTTCTATCCAGAATATCAAAATAAAACCAGGTTCACCATCATAGCTTTAAAAATCATGAGAAAATTGGTCTATTGTGCTCAAAATTGTTCAGGACAGACCCATATTTAATGTCACACACTGAATATGCTTCATCTGAATGGTGTTTTTGATTCTTGATGATTGACCTTTCTTAAAGTATAAAACAATAGGTACCTGGGCTTCAGGGTGGTCACCTACACATCAAAGTATAATATATTATCCTCTGTGTGCACTTTTATTACTCACAATGTGACATACTTCACCAAAATAGCGGAAGGAGCGTTCAAAACTGCTAAATCTGTGAACATCGTGAACTTCACGTGATATTTACAGGGGGGTGGGGGGTCTCTAAAATTTTTTTACACACCTTCAGTCCCATTACATTCGGGGGAGGGGGGGAGGGGGGGGGTAGACCTTAATTAAAAAAAGTGAAATAGCACTCCTCCCTACCAGTGCAGCTGTGTTTAACCAAGGAATGAATCATATATGCAGTGGGATAGGATCCACTGATCCTTTGGTTTAACAATAACAGGTTGAATTGGGCGCTATGATCGTGGCATAAAATTAAATAACGTGGAAGCTATCGGGTTGCAAGTACTTGTAAGTGGTTAAAAACAAGTTTTCGGTTTTTATCTGGCTGAACATGCCCCGGGGCTAATAAAAGAGCTTTCTTTACATCTCTTTGAATGTGCGTAGTTCTGTATCACCGAGACGACCCAGCACTCTATAACGCGAGGACAACCAAACACAACAAAGTCTTAGGGTGCATTCCCAGAGATTTAGATCGATCCAGAGATTTAGATTTAGATCGACCTAACTCCCTGGGGGTTCACGCTAAATTGCAGTCAGCCGAGCGGGCACTATAGTTAATTACCCCCTTACAGCTTTTAGTAGGCGGGACAGACGCTTAATCCGGCTAAGCTGACAGTAATCTAGTGAGACTCCCCACAGGGATAGATCGATCTAAAATCTACGGGAATGGGGTCTTACAGAGTGCACTTTGTTTGTATGCTAGCTTTTCATAACGCGGCTCTCCTGACGTTAGTGTGAGTCAAGTACGCACAACAGGCAAAATAAAAAAAACAAGTTCACCATGCTCGGCTGTAACACTTGATGCAGTCGCGATAGCTTGCAGTCACTCTCAAGGTAAGTTACTCTTTACCTATAGCCGACATATACAGTATGAACATGTGTGTAAGTCCACTGGTGTGTTTGCAAAAAGGTCGACATAACTTTGTCAACAACTTGACACGAAATGAACGCATGGAAAGGGAATGCAGTTGACCGACATGGGATTTCGAGGGATCACTGCAATCACTGTAATCGCCCCGTAAATGTCTGACAACCCTCCTCGAGTTGCTAGGGGTTAATTAAGCAATTAACTAGGTACTCAAGGAGACGTGTCAGACAATTAAGCTGATTACAATGACTGCACTTTGACGAGAATCTCCTGCAGAGTTGGATCGATCCAGCTGGTATGATGTGTGATGTGTGAACCTAAGTGTTTTCTTATTAGATCGAGTTCCTTTGTAAACCGCAGCTATATTGTGAATATAGACATTAGCCAGTAATGTATACGTGTATACAGTCAGATAGGGCCTTCGATAAAAGATGAATTGGAATGTTGAGGATATATTGAAACCTGCATGTATTCATCATATAGGCGTAGGAATCGGTGGTGTGTGACAGGGGCGGATCCAGAGATATTTCTGACTGTCTTCCAAATTGTCTTTGTTGAGCCATCCTAGCTTCCATTACGCCCGTTCTTCGACACAAAATTAGATACCTGTCAGTGTAACTTCTGTAATTCTGACCGTCTTCCGGAAGACCCAGGAGACGGCCTCCATACGCCCCATCCGGGAGCTTGGTCGCGGTGGGGGTGGAGTGAGGGCTGAGACCTCGATCCCCACCTGTTTTTAAGCCATGTGAGTCCTCAGTGGTGGTTTGAGGGGGGGGGGGGGGGGTTAACGCGTCCTGCAGAACTTCGTGTACATCATATTTGTTAATATTTCCCAGCCCCGTCTCTTATTGTTTTCTGTTGCCGAATTGTTATTTCCTCACTTAAAATCTCTTCCAGGTGAACCTGTATACAGCCAATAATAATCGTGTAATATAACTGTGACGCCACATTGTGCAAAGGGATACTTGACAGCCTCATTCCCTGATGAAGATTTTCTGTTAGACATAGAAATATTGGAGGTAAAACTATTTCGTTATTAAGCTGTTGACTGAAGAAAAATTACTTCATTCTTATAACATAACGCAGCAGATGAAATTCTTTTCAGTCTACAGGCATATTATGGTCATTGTGGTTGCTTTAACTGAATTTTGTGGTCATTGTGGGTGTTGTAACTGAATTCTAATGTATTTTAGGTGACCTCTACTGGCAGCTTTAATGACATTAACAGTGTACTTGACATGTGACAAGGGCGGTGGGGTGCATCGAAACGGGTGACGTACTCTAGGTTCTTAAAGATATGAAAGAGATTATTAATTTAAGGCATTGTAGTGGGTGGCACTTTTATTTTGCTGTTATAACCTCTTCCCCCTTTTTAAAGAACTATAGCCGTTGAAATAAAATAACAGGTATTAATGTTCAGGTGTTATATTCGGTGCTTCTTGCCTTTGGCTGATACGAATTATATTACTACCCTTAGTACCCTATTAAGTAACGTAAATGTCTGAAATGGAACCTTTCTTTTGTAACGTCCATATTATTCAGTCTCTACAATGTATGTAGTGTTTCACGGCTGTTACAGCTGATGCGTGCGCTTTATTTAGCATCTGCTGCAAAACAATCTTATCCTGTGTAATATTATCCTCTGTAACAGTGAAATGCTAAAGACATCGAGAGAGAGAGAGAGAGAGAGAGAGAGAGAGACAGAATGAGAGACAGAAAGAGACAGGAAATGAGAGAGTGTGAGTGAGAGACAGAACGAGAGAGAGAGAGAGAGAGAGAGAGAGAGAGAGAGAAAGAGAGAGAGAGAGAGGAAAAAAGAGAGCGAGACAGACTCTCAACATATTAATGTTCATACAAGTACACGTATAGAAATGCGAGTACAATATCTCTACACGTGTGTGTTATCTCTCCCGAAAGAAATGACTGCATGAAAATAACATCCGTGTTCTGGATCGAGTTCAATCTCACCCTCTCCAGTCTCTTAAAACTAAGACCAGTAATTGAAACGTAATCGGTTAATCATCTGTGTCTAATCACAAGTCACAGGTTTCAATCACGTACAGGGGTAACTCTCCAATGACTAGATTCCTCCCCGGTCTGTGCTGTTTGTTACCAACCGATCGCGTTCAGCTTATCAATATTGCCAAAAACAATTGCCTCTGGTAATACAAAAAATATCCCTAGAGTTGTAATTTGCGTGGTCTAATCAGCTCGATAATCGAACTCTGCCTTACGTCGACAATGGCGTGCAAGCCTTCTGAATTGAAAAAGATCATCACCAGTACCAAAATCAATAATCGTGATTCCTTGAGACCGGAGCACACGATGACCTAACGGCTCAGCTACCGGCATTGCGATCCATGTTTGAGCCCCACTTTGAACAGCGTGGTCCTCATTTAAGAGTACAAAACACACCACAATTTCCGTTTTGTGTTTATGGTGAAAATTTATGAGGGCAATGTCAGATGTAAAAAAATCAAAAACAATTTAACAGCCTAGTGAGTACAGTAGATCAGCTTGTTTCTCGCCACTTGGGCCTGCGCTCATTATTGCTAGCTCATACAAATAAAAATATAAGGGTTAAGAGGTTTATGTGCTCTCTTTGCAATATATACAAAATATTAATTAATGAACTATATATATATATATATATATATATATATATATATATATATATATATATATATATATATATATATATATATATATATATATATATATATATATAGTATTAAATTGGGGTAATATTCATTTAAAATAAACATTCAAAATATATATTCAAAGAAAATAATGAAATGAAATGTAGTGTTCTCCATTCCTTTAAGAGCTAAAGGCTCATGTATAGACACATGCACCGTTCATTGATACCGGTAAGTATAGAGACAATAAGGCAGGCCTATACAAGTGAGTTGCAATACACTGTACTCCAATTTAACGTTAATTAACTAATTTAAGTTAATTAAAAGCCAAATAATATATTTTATACATAGCTAGTATTTCCCCTTTCATCGTAAAACAACAGCAATATAATTCACCATCTATTGTTATGTAACTAAACAAACGGATTATGATACATATTAATATATCCGTCGAGAGAGAAAGGCGCAGAGAAAAAAACGCATTTGCCTGTTTCCTTCTCAAAGCAAAAGGAAATTAATGTATTTTTTATTATGTATACTTTTATGATTAATCTGTATTTTTCCTATGACTGTAAGAGTCCGGCTTATGAAAAGTCGTTATACCGAGAAGCGACCTTTTGATAGCATAATACAATCACGCCGGCGTATATTGAACGAAGCCTCAGACCACAGGGAATATAGTTTACCTTGATGTGAATTGTATTGACGTGTATTGATTTTGTTCTGAGTAAATCCCAGCAGCAGAACGGACCAATACAAATAGACCGAGAGAATCCAGAGCCAACGTCGCAATATTGTCTCCGTGTTTCTATATTCCATTACGTTGGGACAGCTGGCAAGAACGGTAGGTTAAAATATTTTGATAAAGAAATCCTGGGCTGAACACGAATTACCCACCACGCGAAGAGAAAAGAGAGCTACACCAGTAAAAACAACCAGGGATATAAAGGCTTGCGATTTTCTATCTGCAATGGTCTGAGGGGAGAATGAGTGACTTGTGTATTATTCATCTAGTTGACGACAGGATTTGTAGACTCACAGTGGAGATAATTCTTAAGGGTTAAGACTTAGCTGCTGCATATAAAGATAATTTCCGACGTGTATTGGTTATTTCATTCACCTCGTTTATCTGTACGTATAGATATAATTAATATACCGAAAAGCTTTTCGCGTGAGAACTACCATATGGTGTTAGGATATGGTTGACAACGATTTCTACTGTTGGTCACAGTGAGTAAGCTTTTATCTTGATGTATTTTAGATGGTGTTTTTTACTAATTGAATCGAGAACAAACGAATAGGGGGTCTACTGGCTTTATTAGTTGTAAATAGCAGGTTTTAAAACATATGTTATCACACAGACGCGTTGAAGTGACGTAATGACCTCATTGGATATCGTGTTATTGACAAGGTGGGTTATTTTGTCGTTCACAATTTTAGACATAAAACACGTATTGTCAGTAACATAAAATACAATAATATATACCCTAAGGGACACGGTTTCCTTACGTTTAACATCTACAATGTAGCAAAGCAGTGTAAATTTATTCAGATGTAACACATTACTGGTGTAATGGCAGCTTATACGTGCTGTCTATATTTGGAAAGGGTAAGCGTACGTGTGTGTAATAGGAAGTTGACCTACACATATCGTCCACAGAATCTGTGGTCGGCTTTAGGTGGATGGTAGATGTTCACGTCTGATATATTTGTCGTAGACAGACATTTGTGTCTAGGTTTTCATGACTTGTACAGCATAATATTAACGATAAACCTGAAGGTGGTTACTGTATGATTTTGTTTGAACAGCTTACAGGAAGCATGGATTATTTGCATATTGTCGCTCACTGGATTATGAAGGAAATTGTTATGGTAACCGAAGGCGTTAATTTCACACAAATTAAAGCAAGTGCTGTAATCGACAAAGTCGTGGGTTTTGTACTTATTGTATTTATTTAGTTGTCAAGTTGGCGACAGATGCCGTCATTAGTTTATGCATTGATGGCCGTGTAATATACGATGCGGGTATGTGGTTATTTAAATTAATTATGTGATGAGAGAAAGCGCTGTGCGTAAAGCGTTCATGGTTAAAAAAGAATTTACAATACTTTATTAATAATAAACACGTTGAGCATGTATATTATTCAAACCTTAGTAGTCAAGGGTAATTAATCAGATTTATTTTTATGGTTTGTGTGTGTGTGTGTGTGTGTGTGTGTGTGTGTGTGTGAAAACCTGTGTCAGAGAGAGAGAGAGAGAGAGAGAGAGAGAGAGAGAGAGAGAGAGAGAGAGAGAGGAGGTCTAGGGAAGACTAGTGCTATTACATGGATAAGATAAATCATTTTCTCTATGTATGTGCCATAAAACAAATAATGATGGAAAGGAGGAATGCACTACAGGGAAGTCGACAGATAATGTGAGTCAAAATGCCAATTAACCTTATCTTGTCCCTGGACGACGCGACTTCCAATTGAAACCATATTGGTTGTCATGGTTTTTACGGGAGCTCGTCCTTCTGAAGTTCCGTTAATCTAAGGGGCCATTCCTATAATCCTATCGAACTAGCTGGATCGATCCAACTCCTCCGGGATTCTCGCTAAATTGCATTCAGTTTAAGCGGCTTTAATGTCTTCCACGCCCCACTGCCCATTTGTAATTTAAAGTACCCGGGTAAAGTCGGAAAAACTTTCTGGTCCATGATGTTTTTCGTTGCACTGTGATGGGGCGTGCAAGACAATTAAAGGGATAATAACTCTTCGTTTCGGCCAAAAATGAATTTTCCTGGAGTAAACAACAATTTTCCCATACTTACCAATGGTTAATGAATCCATTTTTACATTCAAAGTTAGTCCCTGGTTTTTTTCTAAAAAGTTTGGTTTTTTGTTTAAATCTCTTAAGAGATTTTAACAGAGTATAGCCATCAGTGGAGGTCACGTGGTCTTAAGACAAGCTCAGGTATCAGAATAATAGCTTTAACTGCCGTTTTTGTGGTAAAACAGAATATATTATATTTCTATGAGTTATTCACAATGTTTTTATAGTGAAATATAGATCTCATACGACTGCGCCTTAGCTAGAATCCCCGCTGAGATAGATCAATCCTGCTAGTACGATAAGGTTATGGGAACGCAGTCTAAGGAAATTGGACGCTACAGCTAATGGACTGGCCTATGACACAGCCGTTAAAGCATAATATATTTCTTACACATTGAATAGGCCTATATGGTGTAAATGACCCGCCTTCAGACTCGGCTGCACAGGCCTTATAAATAGTACTCTAGCTCTATATCGCTATAATCTTGTTGAAAACAGTAGCAACAAAGAAAATATCAGATATCTGTTCTTGTCACAATAGCGTGAATTTCTTTTCAAGCAACATTATATAGGAAGGTTGTGAGAAGGTGCGCTACCTTTACTGTAGTGAAGCTATATGTAAGAGGCTATGGTGGATAAGCTTGCTAAACGCTAATTAAAAAGTATTATTTTTATGTACAGCCACAGCGTGTCTGTGCATATATATATAGCCATCACTTGCGTCCATCTTTGCCGTCGTCGTGGCCGTGTACTTTCATACCTAGCACGATAAATGGAAAAGCGGTTGACCTATTGTCTTCAGGTCTGATGAATATGATCAAAATACAGGCCGAGTTTGAATACCAGCCTGTCTGGATTATTATTTCTAAAGCTCTGCATTTTTTGCGAAATGTTCTTTTTTAAAATATTAGCAGTTTATAGGTGTGGACTTGAACCTCTGTGAGCCTGAAGCCCTTTGCTATTTAAATTTTCTGAATATCCACGTTACCTGTAAAACACACTTAAATGTTGGTGGTGATCATGTAAAATAGAGAAGGTGCAGTGTTATTTGAAAAAATCCACTACATTTTGACAGTTAAAGTTAATGACACATATCTTCAATTAGGGCCTGAATACTGGTTGCTGCTGCCCATACACCGGCTTGAATAGCCTATATTTGGAATATTGCTGAGCTGAGCACTGAAACGAAGATGGATTTATACTTCCAATGGACCAATACGTTAGATGCACTACAAACCGACCAATTTAAAAGCTTTCTCAGAATTCTGTATATCAATATTTCAACGCGCTGAAGTTATATTTAATATATGTGTATATGTGGATTACAGTTGTAAAGTAGAAACACGTACAGCACTGATTTGGCATTATGGTAGATTATAAGATTCATCAACGATCAAGTTGACAACAGCGCTTGTACGTGGTAACTTTTACTTAGGAGTTAAAGGGATAATAACTCTTCATATGAGATCTATATTTCACAATAAAAACCTTGTGAATAACTCATAGAAATATAATATATTCTGTTTTACCACAAAAACAGCAGTTATAGCTATTATTCTGATATCTGAACTTGTCTTTAGACCACGTGACCTCCATTGATGTCTATACTCTGTTAAAATCTCTTAAGAGATTTTAACAAAAAACCAAACTTTTTAGAAAAAAAACCAGGGACTAACTTTGAATGTAAAAATGGATTCATTAACCATTGGTAAGTATGGGAAAATTGATGTTTACTCCAGGAAAATTCATTTTTTGGCCAAAACGAAGAGTTATTATTGCTTTAACAATGTGTTCTTATTTCAGATTCTTCTGACTGACTTGCTTCCTCTTGTAAACACCACGTGGCGAAAATGGCGTCTGCCTGGTGCGGTGCACTCTGGGAGAAACTCAACCGGAAGAAGACACTTGAGAAAGATCTGCTGCAGACTCCTCTTCACCGTTGTCTCAGCACCCAGCACCTGGCTCTCATAGGCATAGGGCAGATGGTTGGGGCTGGAGTGTTCGTCCTCACTGGGACGGTGATCAAGGACAAAGCAGGTCCGGGTGCCATCTTGTCTTATCTCTTTGCCGGCATTGCGGCCTTGTTGTCTTCGCTTTGTTACGCTGAATTTGGTGCTAGAGTTCCCAAAGCAGGGTCAGCCTATGTGTATACTTACATCACGATAGGAGAGTTCTGGGCGTTTCTCGTGGGTTGGAACATTATTTTAGAATACATAGTTGGAGCAGCGGCAATAGCACGCGCTTTGAGCGGTTCCATAGACGCGCTGGCAAATAACACGATGAGCAACACTCTTGAAGAACATTTGAGTTTGCCGGGACAATTCCTAAGTCAGTACCCAGATTTTCTTTCATTTGCCTTTGTAATGTCTGTAGCAGTGATTGTTGCGTTGGGCGCAAAACTTTCTGCTAACATAACAAGCGTTTTCACTGTCATCAACGTAACTGTCATAGTGTCGGTGGCAATCCTTGGATTTATTTATGCGGATCCCACAACCTGGGATAGCGGGTTTCTCCCATACGGCTTTCAGGGAGTTCTTGGAGGTGCAGCATCCTGCTTTTTCGCATTCATCGGATTCGACGGAATTTCCATCGCTGGTGAAGAAGCTGAATCTCCGGGAAGGTCAATCCCGGTTGCGACAATTTCAGCGATGATTGTCACGACGGTGCTCTACATATTTGTGACAACTTCCGTCAGTTTTCTTGTTCCTTATTATGACATTTCTGCCAGCGCCCCGTTCCCGGCAGCCTTTGCGGCGCGCGGTATCCACTGGGCAAAATACGTCGTCGGTGCCGCGACAGTTGTGGCAATTTTTACGGCACTTTTAGGCAACATGTACATGCTCCCGAGGACGATCTACGCCATTGCATCTGATGGATTATTGTTTAGAATATTTGCCAAAGTAAATGATCGCACACAGACGCCCGTGATCGCCAACTTTGTGTTCAGTCTCGTAGCTGCTCTGATGGCCCTGTTACTTGACATGGAGACGTTGGTTGACTTTCTGTCCATCGGAACTCTGATGGCCTATACGATGGTGGCGGCATCTGTTATCCTTCTCCGTTACCAGCCCATCTCAGAGTGTCAGTTTGAGCTGCACCCAGATCCTACAGATAGCGCCACCGATTCTGCAGGCAACATGGCGGCAGCCGAAAATGGCAGCAGTAGTGAGAGCAAACCATTGCACCATTCATACAGCCATGACGATTTTGGCAAACTAAAGAAATTATTTCGCGCTCTTCCGGTGTTACGGCACTGCAGCCCCGGCACCGCAGTGGCTACGTCCACGATTATCATGGCGGCGTTCATGGCAGCGTTGTGTAGCTTGGCTTTATACGCCACGGAGAGTATATTACGAGCAGAATGGTGGACAATAGTTTTACTTGTAGTACTTATTTTGGGGACAGTCTTCTCATTCTTGGTGATCGTTGCACATGTTCAGAATACAGCGTTCAAGACGTTCCAGGTGAGTGATTTTTGTTCTGACAATAAGGGCGCTGCTGTGACGCATTTTTTCAATTTAGCGTCATGGCGGGGGTGGAAGATGGACGGAGGGGAGTGTGGGTGGAGGCAAGCACTATATTTTAGGACAAATTCCCCTTAAATGCTGAAGTAACTTATCTTGAGAAAGGCTGAGGACCCATATTAAAGCGAGCGTGTTGCATAGCTTTTATTTATTTATTTATTTATTCATCTATTATTATTATTATTATTATTATTATTATTATTATTATTATTATTATTTGTAGTTTAGTACAGACCAATAAAACTATTGATTCGATGAGACAGGTCAGCTTTGGGGAAATGCACTGTCATATATAGGTATTAAGTCAAAATTGTTGAATAATTACGACTATGTCATATGTTTGTGAGGTATTCCCAGTCCAGTTAATGACCAAATATTAATACCGTAATGCCATGACAATTTTGTTGTTACAGATTCCACTGGTACCTCTGCTTCCTGCGACCAGCATGTTTATAAACATCGCAATGATGCTGAAACTGACCTATCTGACGTGGATCCGACTGGCTATATGGATTGCAGTAGGTGAGATACGGAGCACAATTTTTATCAGATTGTGTTCACTGTCTTTGCTTTCCTATCCTTGGGTGATTTCGCACCTCGGGTGACGATTTGTTGTACGGGATCAGCCGAGGATGCGATTGCAGCCAACTTTCTCGGGTGTTACCCGATTGCAATAGATGAAATGGAGACAGCAAGTCCCCCCTCCACTTAACAACCACAATATCTTGGTTCATGAATTACCCCTGCGAAAATGTGTCTCATTTAGCGCTCATTTACGGTTCTCAGTCTGTCCAAGAACACTATGTTTTTCTCTTTTAATGGAAAATGATCTCAATCTGTTCTAGGACATTCTGAAGGACTTCCTAAAAAACAATTCTCGCACTGTTGCATTCATTATAGAACATCATTAGAACTGTAAAAAAATACACCAAACATTCTAGAATAGATTGAGAACCGTAAGTGAACGTTAATGAGACAAATTTTCGCAGGGGTAGTTTATGATGTTACGTTGTCTTATGACTTGAAGTAAAGCTATACATGGTGCGTATGTTACACCTACCCCAATAATGATAACATTGATTATTAAAACTGAATTCACTTGTACATGATTAGCGTCCACAAGACACACACGATTTCAGTACCCAAGGTTTAATGTCCTTATGTGTCCCCAAAACTTCCTAACATGTAGAAATTGGGCACTTAATATTGGTTCATCTGATCAATTTATAAAATAATTGCAAACGGCGAAATTAAATCTGCAAAGTTATCTCTTCGTAGGTTGCACCAGTAAGAAAGAGGCATTTGATCAATAAAGACCTTTATTCAGAAAAACAGACAATGGTCATCTCTCTTTATTGGAAGGGGCGGTAAACGCATATAAGGCTCATTGAAATTTGGGTTCGCTTGTTACCCGTGAAAGCCACTATTTATTTCCCAAGGTGATTGAAACGTTCATTTTATTTAGCGTAAGCCGTGAAGCACCCCATTCCCGTGACTCGTAAATGCGGATTTTAATATTCTCCCGTCGCGAAAGGAAGTCATCATACCCCGTGATTCGTGATTTTCAGGGTTTGCGACTCGCATTATCAGTAAGATATGAATAAAGTTTTATTAACTGTGATATATGAATTGATGATTTTATTTCCCGTAAACTGACAACTATCCCCCTCATGGGACGTTCAAATATTAAAAGTGTCACCCCTAACGCAATGCGTAAAGTAATACAAAAAATAATTTCACGAACCATTGTTCCTTATTCAAGTTCTAAAATAAAATTTTCACAAAAATTTACTGTGAATANAGGCATTTGATCAATAAAGACCTTTATTCAGAAAAACAGACAATGGTCATCTCTCTTTATTGGAAGGGGCGGTAAACGCATATAAGGCTCATTGAAATTTGGGTTCGCTTGTTACCCGTGAAAGCCACTATTTATTTCCCAAGGTGATTGAAACGTTCATTTTATTTAGCGTAAGCCGTGAAGCACCCCATTCCCGTGACTCGTAAATGCGGATTTTAATATTCTCCCGTCGCGAAAGGAAGTCATCATACCCCGTGATTCGTGATTTTCAGGGTTTGCGACTCGCATTATCAGTAAGATATGAATAAAGTTTTATTAACTGTGATATATGAATTGATGATTTTATTTCCCGTAAACTGACAACTATCCCCCTCATGGGACGTTCAAATATTAAAAGTGTCACCCCTAACGCAATGCGTAAAGTAATACAAAAAATAATTTCACGAACCATTGTTCCTTATTCAAGTTCTAAAATAAAATTTTCACAAAAATTTACTGTGAATAAGCTGAGCATAGCAAAAAAAAAAAAAAAAAAAAAAAAAAAAAAAAAAAAAAAAAAAAAAAAAAAAAAAAACAACAACAACAACAACAAAAAAAAAAAAACAATAAAAAAATAAAACGGTGAAATTAAATCTGCAAAGTTATCTCTTCGTAGGTTGCACCAGTAAGAAAGAGGCATTTGATCAATAAAATAAATAAAAAAAATGAAAAAATAAAAAAAAAAATAAAAGCCACATTTAATTATTTTGTACAGTGTATTCTGGATTGGAAGACGCCTAGCTCTGACGCGTCTGTGCGTGGCGTCAAAAAGTTCTGTAACGTTTGTAAAGAGATGACGTTAAACATACGGAATCTTGTTTTAATAACGTTTAGTAATGTTATCAGTGCAATGGTGACATCAGTTCTTCAACAGAATTCACCTAATTCAGCAAACAAAAATACATGGCTGATTCTTAGTCAAACTCCAACCATTACAAGGATTATTTCGATCTCTATATTTTTCAAATTATCATCTGTGAAAGAGTTAAACGCTCCACAAAAGACCTTCATAGCAGTATCTAGTCACAACAACGGTCAATGGTGTGTCTTGCTTCAGCTGGCTGCTATTAGGGCTCAAAGTCGGCAAGATATTCCGTCTGACAGGTTTTTTTGGAGTTTGAACTGGTAATACTTGGATGCAAAATATCAAAATCTTCTGTACGGGCGTTGCCGAAATATTAAGACTATTTTTGACCGAACCATGCCCTGCTATAGTCATACTTGGTCCAGCCCAAAGAGTGCTACCCAAAGAAATCACCACATATTACGTAATGCAGCAGACAAGGCAGTCAGTTAATTGTTGCCGACACATCTGACTACTTATTTATGTATTCTCATAATTCACATGAAGTGCACGTTTTTGCAATAAATAATACATTTTTTCCTCGACATTCCTGTGGACTTTAAATACTCCACTTTAAATGTCAAGTCTGTAGCAGGACAATACCAACTACACAGAGAAATGTGAAATAGTAATTTTAGACTAGAAAAGTAATTTTGCTATGTGACCCGATTTCAGCAGAATCAACCTAACCACTGTTATTTTTCTCTCCGTTTTTTAGGGCTTGTGGTGTACTTTGCGTATGGAATAAGAAACAGCGCAGAGAACCGCAGTCTTGCCTCCTATAACGCTTTAACTTCGTACGGAGGGGACGGTCAGCAGGCACCTGTTCTCCGCGGTGATGACGACGACGATGATGATGATGGCGGCGCGGAGGAGGGTGGCGATGGAGACAAGTGGAAAAAATCTCAGGAGGAAAAACCCGAGTTCGAGTGAGGAATCAGGTTTCTGTCCACGAGATGTTCGTTCATTGCTTGTTGTAGGGTTCTTGCTGTTTGAAATGGCGTCAAGCTTGTTGCGACGATCCACGCCGGTAGCCATAGAGGATAGAAATCCGGGGAGACCTACGTATAGAGGAGCTTGTAGGTGAATGCGTATTGTAATGTTAAGTGTAGGCCAAATTACGTATAACTAAGTGTGCAATAGTTTGTGCTCCGAATCCGCTAATTTATTGTCATTTATCGTCAATGAGAAGCAAGAAGTAGCCGAGTCATAATGTCTGAGAGAGAGAGAGAGAGAGAGAGAGAGGTGACTGATTCATAGACAGTTATAGAGCCTGTCTGGTTCTTATATCTGAAAAAGGTTCGGTACTCTCAGTGACAATCATACTAGTAAGCAGTAAATGAAACAGAAGCCAGTGTATTTCTGTAACTAGATATATGCACGCCCACCGCAGCGTCAGTTGTATTGCCACTCTATACAAATAATGCACATTAAGGAAGGACGTTATCTAAAGAAACTACACTTCTGTCTTTCAAACCCCAAGTGTAAGTCGGGGATCCCTTAGCCGATGGTAATGGTAGGCCTATACCCGGCAGGGGAATATATTGTGAGATGTTTTAACACTTATGCACTATTATGGTTTAAAATTGACAGACAATCAACCAACGCGATCGAAATATCAACAAGATTATTTTATTTTTTCACAAAATAATTTCCCTAAAGATATGTACAGGAATGCAAACATCGAATGTGTAGTAATTATTCAATATACGTGAGTTGAAATTTAGATATTGTGTTACATGTATATAAGATGCAAAAAGAGCAGACGTGTATGGCCAAATTTTTAGAAAATTTCGAAGGAACATTTTTTTTTTGATTTATTGAAAAGGTTTAAGATGATGCACGATGTGTGCAGTGTAAAATCTGGACCAAGAGATGGTATAGCTACAGCAACAGTTTCGTAACACGTGAAAGCATCACCAAGAATCTACCACCATGGGTGTTCAACCAAAATGGCTTATATTTACTCTTAAAGCCCAGATTACATTTACGCGGGCGCCATGCGATGAAATTGTCCGTACGATTTTTTTTTTATTTTTTGAAATCGTAAGGTGCTACGGGCTACGCCGAATAGGTCTACATTACATGGCCTTAAATCCGTACGATTCCGTGCGATTTCGCACGGCCACCGTCTACCTCCGCTCAGACGCCGTACGAAAAGGGTATTACGAGCAGTATACGTGCACCGTACGGGCATCGCATTTCAAATGTAATCTAGGCTTAAAGGGATAATAACTCTTCGTATGAAATCTGTATTTCACAATAAAAACATTGTGAGTGACTCATAAAAATATAGTATATTCTGTTTTCCCACAAAAACGGCTGTTATAGCTATTATTCTGATATCTGAGCTTGTCTTTAGACCACGTGACCTCCATTGATGGCTATACTCTGTTAAAATCTCTTAAGAGATATTAACAAAAAACCAAACTTTTTAGAAAAAAACCAGGGACTAACTTTGAATGTAAAAATGGATTCATTAACCATTGGTAAGTATGGGAAAATTGTTGTTTACTCCAGGAAAATTCATTTTTTGGCCGAAACGAAGAGTTATTATCACTTTAACCAGTAAAAACTCTTCTCAGACGACATATTTTGCGGTATCTTTGATCTTCAGTTATAAATCACAAGGAGGCAGAAGACGAAAGCCGAGTATTTCAGTATTTCAATTAAGATATAACTATCAAACTGGCTTTGTCATACCTATTTTGTTCAGGAGTACTTAAGCAGTGTTACTTAAATTAAGTTATTTGATATTTATTTATATGCAGATTTTTAAACGATGTTTCCTCACATCTTTGTGGTTAATAGAGTGAAAACCACCTCAGATTTGGAAATGAGAGAAATAACTGGACTTCCATGAGTGCTGAAATGGGTTTCTAGGGTTTGTCCTATTGTCGATTTTGACTATTTTGGTTGAACATTTCTGGTGACAGATTCTTCAAATGATCACAAATGTTGTGTTCTTCTGAGTTTTAACTTTAGTCCACTAAGGAATAAATATGGTCGGACGGGGAGCATATCATAAAACTTTTTTTGACTACATGTAATACCATTTTTAAGATAACGGGCCGAGGAATTACCTCGTATCATGAAACTCTACAGTTACGCTCTCTTTGGTACAGTCTTCTAATGGACTGGCCAGTGCCGCAGTTCTATTCTAAATCTAAGTTGAAATTGAACAGAACACCACGATAAGGATTAATCTGTTGTAAAAGCGATGTAATGTATACTTTATTGACGTGTAAGCAAGATTTCCAAAAATTTTCCAAGTCCCAAGCGCTTATATTTTATTTTATTTGCATTCAAATGAAGATGAATGCTAGCTAAAACATTGTCAATAATTCTCTACTCTGCAAATCAATTCATACACGAATTTCAGAAACATCATGCGCTATCAATGGGACATATGTTGTTAATTCTTTTTATGTTTTACGTAATAAATGTCACAAAAACACATAAACGTTAATGCGTTTCCTTCAAATGAGTCCTGTTGTTGCTTCCGTGTCTTGTGTTGTCGATTGATGCGTCGACAGCAGAATAATGACCAGTTAATCCTGACTTCATCTTGCTACTACCGAATGCTCGCGAGGGGCTTATGTTTTAAGTGAAAGATGAGAGTTGGATGGACATCGGGAGTCTGCATTTACAGTCATGTTGTCACGGCCTTAACTTGGCACCGTCGTTATATGAACTGTGTATTTAAGCGATAGTATCTGTTCCGGTACACTTTGAAAGGTCCTTATTGTTGTTGTGTACGAGTAGTTATGCTATAGAGGGTTTACTACCTTTTATAAGTTCTCTTCACATTTGCCTCCTGTTGCTTAAGCCCCCTTTACACTGGACGGCGTCCTTTCTGCGTCCAGCAGTACGGCCCCATTTGAGAGTTAAAAAATTATAATACTTTGCGTGCCGACAACTGGCCGATCATTGAGCATTCATTCTAATACAAAATCAATGCTCGTGCTTCCTTATTTAGACCACAGCGATGCCAAATTTCATGGTCGCAGAAAGGACGCCGTCCAGTGTAAAGGGGGTATTAGAAAATGTGTTGGACGTGTGGAAGTCGAGTCGAGGTTCCGTTCAGACGACTCTCTTACGTACAAGCCAAGCCATTGTTAAGCTGTCAGTCTTTCACAATGTATCGGTACAGACTGTGTCGCGAAAGTATACTGCTCGATGATAAAAGGACCTAACTGCATGTATATACAGCTATCAAATCGTAATATCATGGTCTGTTGAGAGAATGTGTTGCAAGGGCAAGTCGATTGGGCTGTCAGTGAGCTCATGAACACCACTTCCGCCAGAACCGATAATTGTAGAAGTTACTCATTTTTGTAACGGGAAGAGATCTCCCAAAGAGACCGGTGTGACAGGAATGGTACTGCGCTAGAAACTGTTCCGTTTCCGGTTACTTTATACGGGTGATATTCTTTCGGTATTCTTGATCCGATAACCGGTGTAACGTGCCAGAGAGTTCCCCGTGATAGAGAATCCGCTTCCCATTGGTTTGTACAGGTGAGCCTCGCCCTAGATTTTGACCCACTTAGGTCAGGCTAACCCTAACCATTGTAACTATATGGAGGGCGGACTTTCTGGTACACGAACCTTAAGTTTTGTTACACCGGTACTAATCACATGGGACTACCATCCTCAGGACTATCATTCCTGTCAAACCGGATATTGTAATTATTTCCTTGATGCATTTTACAAAAGTCAACGTTCATTGTATCCAGTTCTAATGTTTGTGTCGACGTAAACTCAACGCCTTAACAAATTCCTTTCTGAATTCACTCGAAGCAAAATTATACAGAAAGGGATTGATGCTGCAGTTTGAGATCCCAAGCACTTGCAACAGAACAACAAACACTTTCAGGGCCTGTGGAGCGCAGCTTATATCCACGGCGTCTGTTGCTAGAAGTAAGAGCAATATATGATTCGGCAAGTTGCAAAGGGCGAAAACAGCAGTTATCACTATCACCATGACAACGACGTGTTGCGTTGCCCGCTTGCTGGAAGCTTGGATATGTGGTGAAGCCTTCCGCAGAGACAGCGCCATACGCTTGGTTTGGCCCTTCTGGACCTTCCATATGATTAACATGGAGAGAGTGGCCACAACAGCAAACGGTATGAAAAAATCAAATCCAACCACCAATACAATGTATACGGCATACTGCCAGTTATACTCTGTGTTTATTATACAAGGTCCCCAGCGAACTCCCGAGTACAAAATTAACGGAATGTTGATTATTCCAGTGAACATCCATATAATTCCTGAAACAATAGCAGCGTTTGTTTTAGGATGCAGGATGCTCCTTGAACCAAGCGGCTTGGAGACAGCGATGTAACGTATTACACATATACACACTAAGGAGTATATGCTTACTCCCATCGTGACGTAGGTGAGATAGTAGAACAATTTACACGTCCACGACGGCAAGACGTATTCATTCTTAGTGGCGTACATGAGCACTTGGATGGGTACGCAGAAAATAAGGAACAGGAGATCCGCAGTGGCGAGGTTCAGGAATAGGATGTTCATCCGCCATAACTTTATGATGACGTATATCACTAGGATGTTGCCGACAAGTCCGACGACGCTGACAAGGAGGATGATTATTGGGATTCCGATCCTAACAAATGGTAAACTATACACGGTAACTTCAAATAGTGTTCTGTTGCTCATGTCGTCTGCCTCTTCCCCGCACCATGACGTCACATTGGTAAAGTTTCCGTCCATTTTTGATTTCAGATGCTTTCCTGCAGATGAATATGAACAAATTTGGCAAGTACCATTGAAATTCTACATTAATAGCAACGGGATCTAAATCTGTGACAGGTCGATTAAAGTTGAAGCGCTGAAACCGTAACGCTGTATAAGAACATTTTCGAAATGGCAGACCAGGTTTTCAAGACAAGGCCCTTATTCCCCAAGAGCCTACCGACTGAGCAGCTGCCTTATGCCACAAAAGATATTTTAGAAAAGAGCGAATGTACGGGATACGGTGGCTTAATTAGCATTTTTCGCCAACAGATATATGTAAAATCTACCCTCACTTCTCAGTACATCATTGCCAGCCCTTTGCGCGTTTTTTTCACTCAAAGTTTCCGCAATACTACTTTGTACAGCGAGTATACAGCATCTTGCCGTGCAGACAACTTATGAGTTTAAGGTCTTCAGAACATTGCATAAGCCGCAAGAGCAGTTTTGTATAACGTCACATATATGAGAACACGAAAATTGAATATATTTCCACTGTTCTAAAAGTAAAGAATACTGTGCACTGCATAACCGTGTTGAAATATGTGAATTTGATTTATTGGTTTTTGGAATGAGATTAAATATGAAGCCTTCTCTATTTTAATCCGCTCTTGCTAGGCGCTGTTTCAGTCTATTCCCCTTGGATGGGCCTTTTCATTATGAGCATTCGTCACTCTTTGATTAAGACCGACACATTTTCTCTTCCAGTGCTCTCAACGAGGATTTTTAGCGATTGTCAATTTGGAAACGCCTTTATTGATCTTCACTGCGATCTGTTTTATAACAAAATATCCCTAATTCGAGTATCGTTGCAATCCATTTTGTAGTAATCTTTTCAATAACCAATCATCAAGTCATTATTGCAGTAATCAGATAATCAGTGGTCATTCGCATTCAGCCGATCTCTGCTTGTCCTATGCTTCATTTGCACCGTTGAAACATGGTGTCTCCAGCCTAAAAAAATAATTGTAAATAGTAATTTGCTTATAAGATAATTGCTGCAGTATTGTTAAAAATGAAAAGCATGTTGTGTTTTTTCGTTGCAGAATATAACGGGTCACACAAAGCGTGATGTTATTATTCAGTGTTTGGCACAGTTTCTATATATTGAAATATATAGAAGGCTGGGCCAAACACTGAATTTTGTATAACCTACATATACATGCATATACACGTAATAGGATTTTTTTTGCTGAATAATTAAAATTTAAGATGGTATTATAATGATCGTGTTAACTGCGGCTGTAGGTTCGTTTTATTCTTATAACATATTCATCCTAGCATCTTGCATACTTTTTAAACATCAACAAGATAGACAAACGCGTCGTTGACAATTTGCCGTGCTTATTACACCGCCTCGCTCGTAAAATATTCATGAAGTTATGGCAAAATAATTGTTTGTAATAGGACGTTAAACTATTGAATGAACACAATTTGATTTCTGGCTGCAGTCACACGAAGCAGTGGCTGTACGTATCTACACCACGCTGTACATTGCCATTTAAGCAAATCAATCGCCGAAATAATCTCTCCGACAGAGAGGGATATGTCAATAATGGTCAATTCCAGTTTCAATCAAACGGATGGCTTCCCGTCTTCTAAGAGTAATGAAGGCTCAAATATTCGTACTCATGGTGTCTAATTCAATATCCCTGCGGTTAAAATTACGCCAAATTGCCAGTTCACGTAGTTGGAGTCACTTCAGTTTAAAGCATCTAACCAGTTAAAGTCTTTGAATTGTCCTTCAAATCGTTCGGTTCGGAAGCCAGAATAGCAATAGCGTACAATGGGCACCTGCGCTACCTCCATACTCCAGAAGCCAAGCTGTCAGTGCGTGATTTTAAGCATTAAAAATACATTTTTATTTTCTCATTATGTGATTATGATATTTGGCTCTCAATGTAGTGTATCATGAGTGTGAAGCGACAGAATTGATTTTATAGACAATTATCTGGTCATACGCTGTGCACGTATATATATATTAATGAGCAGATGGGTTCGAACGCATTTGACAGCTTAACGTGTTTTAGAATTTCGCATGACGGAGTTGACTGGAAAAGTACAAACTAAGGAAAATCATACTGATATAAATGTTAGAAGGCACACTTAATGAATTACCGTATTTCCCTCCTTTCTCTGTTCTTCGGTAATTTTTAAGTAATCATCTGCATGCAAATGGCAATTAGAGAAATAAAGGACACTGAGATTTCAGTTTTTTATTTTAATTATTTTATTTTAAAAAATGATTCATATGTTTAAAAGCGAATCCGCTCACTCTCTGCCCCATTTTTAGTACGAAAACCCCTGGTTATATACATATTTTGTCACCAACTCCATCCAAACGAAAGCTCTGTAAGACAAAGCTCTGAAAACGAAAATAAATAAATAAATAACGCCGTAACAGCTCAGTCATTACCATTTTTTTTGCTCCTTCAAAGCTCAAGACTCCGTTTACAGCAACTCTCATATATATTACGCTGAGGAACGTGTCTCTTGTTTACCACAGTTCAGATCATTTACCAACTGCACAAACATTTAATTTGATGATAAGCACGACCCATTATTGTAAGGTGCAATTTTTCTCTAATGGTTTTACGGCAGATTAGGTTTTTCCATATTCTTCCCGGAAACTCAGCAAAACAAATCCTCTTTTTTTATGCCGAACGAACTTGAAAAAGTTTGCTTAAAAGTCCCTGCTAGCATGGGATCAATTGAATACAGGAATCGGACAAAGTCAGGGCTTATTTTTGAAATTGCACCTTTTTTTTTCAATGGGTGTTTTTGCGAATAGGCTTCTTATCCATCTATCGATTGGAAGATGAAAGAGATATTTGGAATCCATCTCTCAATTTACTCCGGGGAAATTTATTAAGCTACCACTTATTGAGAAACCCGTGACTATGTTGTTAATAAAAGGTATTTCAACAGGGAAATTATGCACGACTCGAGAAGATGGGCTGCGTGAAGGCTGAGACTTGAATATACATATAGCCTAGGGATTGGTTTTTAGCTTGAATTGGGTTTGTGGGTATAGTAGTGTCAAAACACGCACCACTTACATTGTAATTTAAGTGTCATTTTTCAAATCGTTGATTACAATTTATTGCATTTGCATTGGTTCTGGTTTTTATCTTTTTGAATGACAGACAAATTCATCACAAGAATCACAAAGTAGTCAGTCAGTAATTGATTTCAGTAGTTAACCTCTATAACGCTCTCGCACAGCTGCGCGCGGCCAGCATATATAACTATTGTATATAAAAATTTAATATGAATTGGTCAAATGAACTTTTAAACTGTCGGTCTAATTTGGTTCAGCGTTCTGGTTTTGGCGTTTGTGTCTGAGATCGGAATGAAACACGATTCAAGATATCCCCATTACTGAACAAATGAATTAGAATGAATTACAAATGATGATATACTCAACGAATCGCCCCACTGTTCAAGTACGATAAACCTAAAAACCTCATATTTCAAGTCAGACGTAAAGTTGTACGCTACCCACACAAAAAGGACCGCAACTAGCGGCGAAATCTGTGGGATATGAAGGGACCATTCCCACACCCTATCGTTCTGACTGTGGATCGATCGATCTCCGAAGGGATTCTCGCTATATGGTAGTCACCTTTAGCGGCTTAGATGTCTGTCACGCATACCGAAGCTGCTAGAGGGTTATTTATTATTAATTTAGCAACTTCAGCAGGCGTGCTGGACATCTGAGCCGCTTTAGCTGAAAGCAATTTAGCGACTCCCCCCCTTTTGGAGATGGATCGAAACTGTTAGATCGGTCTAGGTATGGGAACCCTTCTAAGCACTGTCAAATAAAGACATTTGCAACATAACGTTATCAGGGCACACCTGGCCACAATATGTTCATATATTGAACTTCTTGTCAGATACGGGCTTATTAATCAAAGTAGCAGTATTTGATTTTTTTTACTGCACGACCCACTCCCAGATAAAAGGTAATTGAAATACCGCCACTAAAATCGACAAAATGGAGAAGGAGGCATATATAAGGTTTCGCAAATCACATTTCGGGCACTCCCTTGGTGTTCTAAAAGGAAACAAATCACTCCAGTTAGTACACGCGCGCGCGCACGCGCATATACACACGCACATACACACGCACACACACACACACACATACACGCACACACACATATGCATTGATATAACGGGCAAGGCCAAATCTGCCTATTAAACAAAACTACATCAAGAGCGTACTGACATTTTCTTGCTAATAAACGTCATAAATTATAATCATTAGTATATTTTGTACTGAGTTTCATAAGATTATAGCTACAATGCACATATAAGGCTACTTTGTTTTATAAAATGTGTGAAAATCGGAGCCTTTAGTTATTTTTGTGTAATTAAGATTGAACATATCTACTTGTGCGCCATTGTTATTTCAGCGTTGCACTTGCACTTATCCTATGACGGACACATGACGAAGATATGATATAATTATCTAGGCTTTGATTGAATGGTAGAATTTTAAGATAAAACGTTTAATTTATGAAGGCAATTTTTCTTTCTTTTAATTTGACGTATTTATTAAGATATCATTTCCTTTCGATGTTTTTCTGGTATTTTAACATTTGCACATTACAAAAAGTATTGTGATTGCTTCAAGCATAGAGCATGTCGTATTACAGTTAGAGCGAATATTTTTATTTTGATGAACATTACCTATACATTTATCAAGAATACGCGCTTTATAATGAAAGAGACAGTATTATTTAGTTGCTGACGCTACAACAACAATTCATACACGTAGAACACGCTTTAAACAGCAAGATTATTAGCAAATGATGAGTAAAATAAATGAATCTTGATACCTACTTTTTCAGATTCTAGCCTACCAACAGCAGCGGGACTCCAGTGACCAAAAGGATTGTCAGAACGTTTCTCTGTAATCTCATCGTTCGGTGGCTCAAGAGTGCCACTAAAAGTTAACGCTTTTCTGACTTTCT